ACACCACTCATACTAACCAGTAGTGTTTTTAAGCAAGATCAAGGTGGTCTAAACACTGGACAACGGTAGCTTATCTCGTTTGGGGCCGAGCTCATCAGCGGTAGATGATGTTTGACTCAGTTCAGAGAGCCCAATCAATTCCAAAGGAAACTGCAGTGAAATTTCACCACTAGAACTGTGTAAATTGCAAATTGTGAATTTTATTTATGGTATCGCCAGTGCGACCAAGTAGCTAACCAGAAATAGGTTGGTTTGAACTGAATCAGCCCACTAAGCTGAGCGAAATCGGGTACACTGAGGATGAGCTCACCCCCAAACTTCCGGTGTTTAGATCACCTCAATCTGGCTAGCAAGTGCTACTGGTTAGTATGAGTGGCTTGCAACCAATCATCCATATCGATCATTTGTATTCAGTTTTCTGCGAAACTGTGGAACATCTGCTTCCGACCACTTGTTTAAAGTTTGACAATAACGTTCCTATACGGAATTCACGTTGCATGAGTGTGTGTGCGTGATCCACTGTTCTTTTCTTGTTGTGAAGCGTATAAGTGGTGAAGACAGTACTATAATGGGAGTCGAAGAGAACTCTGATCAGAACAGCACCATAGTATACTCCACTAGTTGACTTCTGATATCGTGTTAGCTAAACAGACTGTTGATTTCTCCGGGTTATTTATGACATCTCATCATTATCCCTTTTCTTTATTGTTTGCAGTTTGTTGACCTCTCGACGTAGTAATGTAAGCACAAAACAAATGTTACAAAGAAAAGTTGCGAAAGAGAAGCGTTGTGCAATGCGTGCCGTTCGTCAAGATAGTCAATTTTTGGCTTCTCACCAGTTGCAGCTTACGAAAAAGAGGTAGCTTTCTTGTTTGTTTGCTTGTTTTTTTACCAACAATTTTAACTTTAAATGAATAATTCATTCATTTATTTCTATGTAGAGTTCTTTGTACGTAGGATTTTTCGTGCACTTTGCGTGTCTGTGGAATGTTGGCCTATTCATTTTTATGTTGTTTTGTTACATGTTCAACATTTTCAGTGTTAATGTTTAAGCAAATATTCCTACCGGCGTCCAACAATCATTATATTTCTTGACTTTAAGGTGGCATTCGATTCTGTTGACCGAAAGGTACTCTGGCGATGCTTGGTTATAAAAAGAATGCCGAGAAAATACATTTCACTGGTTAAGGCATTCTACTCGAACTCAAGCAGCCAGGTGAGGGCTTACGGCGAGTTGTCATCTGAAGTGGTGACAACTAGTGGTGTCCATCAGGGATGCCCATTATAACCATTTCTATTCAATTTCATCATAGATGTACTGATGTACTTAACCCTAACTCACTTCAGCGACTCAGGGATTGACTTGCTACCAGGTTATGAATAATCTCGTTGACTTAGAATATGCAGACGATATAGTCCTTCTAGGCGAGGACGCTGACAAAATGCAGAGTCTTCTGAACACCTTGAGCTTCAATCTACGAATGTTTGGCATGTCATTCGCTCCCACCAAATGCAAGATGGCGTTACAGGACTGAACTACATCGACTCCTAGTGTAGAAATAGGGAGGGAAGTGGTAGAGCACGTTGACCGCTTCACTTATTTGGGAAGTACCATCAGCCCCAACGGGCTGATCTCTGAAGAAATCTCAGCACGAATACAAGGGGCTCGTTTCGCATTTGTTAGTTTACGCCGACTCTGGCGTAGACGAGATGTTCGACTATCGACCAAAGGGCGGGTGTACTGCTCATCAGTCCGCTCCGTCCTCCTTCATGGCTGTGAGATCTGGCCATTGAGAGTGGAAGACATGAAAAGATTATCTGTATTTGATCACAGGTGCCTGCGCTCTACCTCCCGTGTGAAGTGGTATAATAAAGTGAGCAATATTGAGGTTAGGCCTCGAGTTCTAGGAAAACAGGGGAAATCAATCAACGAGGTTGTGAAATTGCATCGACTGAGATGGTTAGGACATGTGTTACGTATGCCTAGTCATCGCCTTCCTCGACCGACAGGGAATGTTAGCTGACATAGGGTCAGGCTGGAAAAAAGCTAGTGGAGGTCAAACCAAAACATGGCACCAGTCAATGAAATCTACAACATTTATTTTAATCCACGTAGGAAGGTGTAGACTTCCTGGTTGGGGTCCTCGGGACGGTAAAAACCAATGCAGGCTGGAAACAATTGGTGATATGTCTCAAAATCGTTCTGAATGGCGCAGATGCATGCACTCCTTGTGACTTATGATTTCCAATGAAACTATATTGTTCTTCGTTATTACTATTCCTTTGTCTCACACCTCTGTTTGCTGTCTCTATGATGCATTTCTTCTACTTTCTTCTCTTGCTTTGTGTGCTACATGGAGTGTGGCGACTCGAACTGTCGCACATCGGTGCAAAGTTCTATGTCGAAAATAGACAGACAGACAAGCAGACATATAAACGACAATGTGTAGGGTATTCACTTTAAAATTTTAAGCTGTAGTAGTGCTGAGGGTCACTCCATCGGATTTAATGTACACCCAATTTTGTGTCTGTTAGCCCAAGCCAGTTTGACGTAATTTACTCTCTTTTTTACATGCGAACTTGGATCTTACAACAAAACGATAGGGAAAAACTCTTTTGTGTCGCCTGAGCTTAGTAAATACATCTCACATGTTATATATAGATCTCTACGATTGTACTTGGCATTACGTGTTAGGTGCATCCAGTAGTAGGCTTTTCTTACTCAGAAGATTAGTGATATGCAATATTCGTGAATTTGATTTCGATAAATTGACTTCATTTGTGTATCCAGTGTATCATTCGTTTCAGTATTTTGTTTTATGAATATTTCCTGGTACTGGAGTAGCAACTTATTTCTTCAACTTGTATGTCTGCCAACCCTGTTAATTTTTGGTATTTTCGTGGCTACAGAAAAGTCTGTCGCTTTATGTTGAAAGTATTAGTATTACAGGAATCCTGTATTCTGTGTACCTTTTTTAAAGATATTTCCTAAGAGAATATTTCCCCACTTCACGAAGTTTAGAAGATTTCATTGTCGTATATGAATGTTATTGCATATGATTTTACCGTGATCATATCTAGTTACCTTTTAAGTATGTGTAGCACTCCGTTCATTTACTATTGTACAATTTCAAACAGCGATTTTTTTCCTTCATGTTCCCCAGTGGAACATCGGGCTTCAAGCTAGTGGCTTGAAGTTTCTGTAGCAGTGTTTATTTTACAGGATGGGGTTGCAAAGCTAATGCCCAACCTTTTCTCTTTACCAGCATTATTTCTGGCTCAGCGAGGTAAAGGAGTGCGTTGGTCGTAGATCGAACCCCGGACCATGTGCATGGTCGACGAGCGTCCTAACCGCTCTGTCACCGACGCACAAACAGCGATTTACCTGATTCCAATTAGTTTTCTCGTTTATGTGACGTAATGTTCGACTTTTAAAAGGAAACTGACAAGGTAGACGATATAAGCGAATATGGAGGATTTCATCATGAGGTGACATCAGTTAAAGAACCACTGGTAAATCGGGGAGTACTAGACAGCTGTTTCGTCCTAATTTGCGACTCTTCAGTAGGGTACAGCAGGTCAAAGATGAGGCAGTAACTCGTAGAAGAAATCGCGAAGTGGTCGCGCTGTGTCGTGAATTGGCAGAAGTTAGAACTCAAGAACCATTGGGTCGGGTCCCAATGGCTGAATGGCCTACGAGCTCGCCTTGTAACCAGAAGGTCCTGAGTTCGAACCCCGGTGGGTGCGTACTGATGAAGTGCCCAAACTGCTGTCCAGTACTCCCAGGTTTACCAGTGGTTCTCTAACTGATGTCAGCTCATGATGAAATCCTCCATACAATCAAACAAAATCCCTACAAAAGCAATGCTTGAATATGACAAAAAAGCATATTCTCTCGAATGACTCATTTTTCTATTTCGCTTTTACGAAATCTTGAAAGCAATTCGGAATGTCGCCAATGTAATCTTATGTATAAAAAATAGTCAGAACTTCTAGAGTATGTTGGTATTAAAGGGTCATCCAACTCCTAAAAAACTTTATATTTTAAACTACATTAATAGCACTAAGCGAAAGTTGCAGGATTTTCCTCTTACTGTCGCTAGCAGTTTTATTTGTTGGAAGTGTGTTTTTTCGCCAATGAAATCCTTGGAAAATACATTTTGCCTTCCACACTGAAAGCATACTTTCTTCATTTTTAAATACTGTAAATATTTATAGGGATTTTTTATATCGTATTTGTTAAACTTATCTACTACTGATATAAATTTATTTTCTCTTTTTTACTTCAGTGATTCTATTCGTGAAAAGAAGACGAAAGCTATTTTGAATTCACTTCGTTCAGTTGAAGACTGATGCAGCAGGCTGTGTATGTACATTTCGTTTCTGAAGTTAATAAAATCAACATGTACATAATTCTATTACCTAGGTTTTATAAAACATTATTTTGTGCTAATAGTTACAGGAAAGTGACTGATGTCTTGCTTTCTAATCCTATGATCGGGCTAAATACCATAGTTTAATTTGTCAACTTGACAAAGAAGCTAGCAGACTCCATTGTGAACTGTTTTGGTAACTGTCACATGGCTAGCATTAAATCTGACTAACCTTAGACGTTCTGTACTTATTGCCACTTGTCAATAAAATGTATCTGTAGCGTTGTGAAGGAAGTAATTCCGCTCCGGTCAACTGTTTTGGTGAATTGAAATAAATGACTGAGCTATTCAGCCTAGATAACATAACACTGATAACTATCATGTGGCTAGTCAATCTCTTAATTCCACTCCGGACAAAAATAAATCACATACGTAGATTTTTTTGAGCACTGGATTACGTGGCCTCTATAGTGCTCCTACTTTCAGGATCACATTTAGCATGGCTGAGAAATAGAAAAAAAAACAATTAAACGTAGTTTATGAGCGACCTCATATTGTCTGTTTCAAACTACCAAAGTATAATAGATTGTCTTAGGATACCCTAAGCCACTCTCTCCTTTTATCGATGGGATTATCACTCAGTGACTGAAGGCAAGAATCCATATTCATCCTCACATTAGCAGAATTACAAAACTGCACCTGTTATCATGATGCACTTAAATGGGATATCATCCAGCTGTTAACCAACTGACATCCATTCCGAAAAACAAGGAGGTACGCCCGAAAGCCTACTATTATATCACTTTAATTCAAAATACTAAGCCTGAATCAGAGGACTCAAAACACCTACAACAATATTCTTCTAAACCCCAGACTCATTTATTTTTTATGAACGACATACCAATCATCAGCATTATCAACACCAATCAGCTTAGGCAATACCATCTGAATCAAACCCTTTCCTTATATCCTAATTCACGTTATGAGTCACTACTCCAAAATCCTACTCACCAAATCTTTACATCACCAGAATAAAGCCCTAGGAAATATCCCAATATTTTCGGAAACCACCAACACCAACAAATCACGGTAATATTCATCTACAGTAAACACAAAACTGTCAGCAACCATTTTCAGTCGACCCACACTATGTTTCTCCACAACAATAGCGCTATTTTACTGATATCCTTTCACCACCTATCCTACGACACTGAAAATACCAAATCCCTCCGAAGATTTCATTAGCGCGCGTGGAATATCCGAAATATTCACGATGATACGAAAGCTTTCAATAGTCAATTGTTGATCATTTCAGTTATTTGACGATTTTGCTTATCTGGAGGACGTCGTGGAGGAATTGTGTGTCGTCGATTCGCTTAGTGTGGGTTTGAGATTTAGCAGTCAGTGTTATTTAGAATGATTAGCGTGTGTATTAAACTGCCTGACTGACCGACTGCGTGTTTGTGTGTGTGTGTGTGTGTGTGTGTGTGTGTGTGTGTGTAGGTGAGGGTTTTAGACAGTGAGTTTGCTGAAAGCTGGTTACTTCTGTAAGCGACTGTAGAAGAGATCTGTGTTAAAACTCCATTCTAGTGTCTAGGTGGTGAGATTGAACTCGGTATAGATAGCACTTACTTATGTTTCGATGCATAATATTGCCATTAGGACACCTGACGGGAAGGCCATCATGAATATCAGAATGGCATTTACTACGATATTTTCCTACATTCAGTATTTATCCTCCTCATAATGGCCTTGTGAGTATCGACAGATTATACCAGAGGTGAAGCTGGTGGTGAGATGTGTTTCAGTGGTGCACAAATCTTCAACTAAATACTGATGATGATGATAATAATAATAATAATGCTAATAGGATGTGGATACGAGAGAGTATAGTTGTAGTTGTAGCTAATTGTCTGACCGATTCAGGTGGAGAAACAAACATAACTAGTTTAAAATACCTTAGTCATTAATAAGTTACGATTCACTGTATATCAAATTGGTGAGAAGGATTTTCTCAAATTGTTGAGAAGTTGTCCGACGAAGATGTAAGAGTGAATCACATTTCCCGTTTTCACTGCAGTCTAAATCCGCCTTCATTTGTACTGGTAACATCAACAGTGCCTTTGAAGACATTATTTCCTTTCATGAATTTACTATGTTGACTAAGATGTAATAACACAATGGAGTGATGTGATTTTGAGGGTAAATAAGATCCTATGCCTAAATGAAGTGTGGAACGACGTAGGTGAAAAGGGAGAACACGTTCGGTTTCACATACATAACCGGTGACGACGAACTCTGCGTAATGTGGTGAGTAAGTATTCTTGGAACGCCTGCTTCCGATCAGTTGAATACTGTTCGACAATAGCGTTCCTACATGAAATTCACATTGCATGAATATGCGTGTGGTACACTTTGTTTTGTATGTGATTTTGTAACGTGTGTACATGGTGAAGACGATATTGTGGGGTGGATGAGGTAATGATGACTATTCCTGTAATAGTTGTGCACTAATCATCAACACTGCTACTCAGTGTGAATTATTCGCGTAGATCGTGTGGTCTATGGGGAATGTTGATGACGATATGAAAGGATTAATAGTTGGTTGTTGATCATTTCAGTTATTTGACGATTTTGGTTATCTGGAGGACGTCGTGGAGGAATTGTGTGTCGTCGATTCGCTTAGTGTGGGTTTGAGATTTAGCAGTCAGTGTTATTTAGAATGATTAGCGTGTGTATTAAACTGCCTGACTGACCGACTGTGTGTTTGTGTGTGTGTGTGTGTGTGTGTGTGTAGGTGAGGGTTTTAGACAGTGAGTTTGCTGAAAGCTGGTTACTTCTGTAAGCGACTGTAGAAGAGATCTATGTTAAAACTCCATTCTAGTGTCTAGGTGGTGAGATTGAACTCGGTATAGATAGCACTTACTTATGTTTCGATGCATAATATTGCCATTAGGACACCTGACGGGAAGGCCATCATGAATATCAGAATGGCATTTACTACGATATTTTCCTACATTCAGTATTTATCCTCCTCATAATGGCCTTGTGAGTATCGACAGATTATACCAGAGGTGAAGCTGGTGGTGAGATGTGTTTCAGTGGTGCACAAATCTTCAACTAAATACTGATGATGATGATAATAATAATAATAATGCTAATAGGATGTGGATACGAGAGAGTATAGTTGTAGTTGTAGCTAATTGTCTGACCGATTCAGGTGGAGAAACAAACATAACTAGTTTAAAATACCTTAGTCATTAATAAGTTACGATTCACTGTATATCAAATTGGTGAGAAGGATTTTCTCAAATTGTTGAGAAGTTGTCCGACGAAGATGTAAGAGTGAATCACATTTCCCGTTTTCACTGCAGTCTAAATCCGCCTTCATTTGTACTGGTAACATCAACAGTGCCTTTGAAGACATTATTTCCTTTCATGAATTTACTATGTTGACTAAGATGTAATAACACAATGGAGTGATGTGATTTTGAGGGTAAATAAGATCCTATGCCTAAATGAAGTGTGGAACGACGTAGGTGAAAAGGGAGAACATGTTCGGTTTCACATACATAACCGGTGACGACGAACTCTGCGTAATGTGGTGAGTAAGTATTCTTGGAACGCCTGCTTCCGATCAGTTGAATACTGTTCGACAATAGCGTTCCTACATGAAATTCACATTGCATGAATATGCGTGTGGTACTCTTTCTTTTGTTTGTGATTTTGTAACGTGTGTACATGGTGAAGACGATATTGTGGGGTGGATGAGGTAATGATGACTATTCCTGTAATAGTTGTGCACTAATCATCAACACTGCTACTCAGTGTGAATTATTCGCGTAGATCGTGTGGTCTATGGGGAATGTTGATGACGATATGAAAGGATTAATAGTTGGTTGTTGATCATTTCAGTTATTTGACGATTTTGGTTATCTGGAGGACGTCGTGGAGGAATTGTGTGTCGTCGATTCGCTTAGTGTGGGTTTGAGATTTAGCAGTCAGTGTTATTTAGAATGATTAGCGTGTGTATTAAACTGCCTGACTGACCGACTGCGTGTTTGTGTGTGTGTGTGTGTGTGTGTGTGTGTGTGTGTAGGTGAGGGTTTTAGACAGTGAGTTTGCTGAAAGCTGGTTACTTCTGTAAGCGACTGTAGAAGAGATCTGTGTTAAAACTCCATTCTAGTGTCTAGGTGGTGAGATTGAACTCGGTATAGATAGCACTTACTTATGTTTCGATGCATAATATTGCCATTAGGACACCTGACGGGAAGGCCATCATGAATATCAGAATGGCATTTACTACGATATTTTCCTACATTCAGTATTTATCCTCCTCATAATGGCCTTGTGAGTATCGACAGATTATACCAGAGGTGAAGCTGGTAGTGAGATGTGTTTCAGTGGTGCACAAATCTTCAACTAAATACTGATGATGATGATAATAATAATAATAATGCTAATAGGATGTGGATACGAGAGAGTATAGTTGTAGTTGTAGCTAATTGTCTGACCGATTCAGGTGGAGAAACAAACATAACTAGTTTAAAATACCTTAGTCATTAATAAGTTACGATACACTGTATATCAAATTGGTGAGAAGGATTTTCTCAAATTGTTGAGAAGTTGTCCGACGAAGATGTAAGAGTGAATCACATTTCCCGTTTTCACTGCAGTCTAAATCCGCCTTCATTTGTACTGGTAACATCAACAGTGCCTTTGAAGACATTATTTCCTTTCATGAATTTACTATGTTGACTAAGATGTAATAACACAATGGAGTGATGTGATTTTGAGGGTAAATAAGATCCTATGCCTAAATGAAGTGTGGAACGACGTAGGTGAAAAGGGAGAACACGTTCGGTTTCACATACATAACCGGTGACGACGAACTCTGCGTAATGTGGTGAGTAAGTATTCTTGGAACGCCTGCTTCCGATCAGTTGAATACTGTTCGACAATAGCGTTCCTACATGAAATTCACATTGCATGAATATGCGTGTGGTACTCTTTCTTTTGTTTGTGATTTTGTAACGTGTGTACATGGTGAAGACGATATTGTGGGGTGGATGAGGTAATGACGACTATTCCTGTAATAGTTGTGCACTAATCATCAACACTGCTACTCAGTGTGAATTATTCGCGTAGATCGTGTGGTCTATGGGGAATGTTGATGACGATATGAAAGGATTAATAGTTGGTTGTTGATCATTTCAGTTATTTGACGATTTTGGTTATCTGGAGGACGTCGTGGAGGAATTGTGTGTCGTCGATTCGCTTAGTGTGGGTTTGAGATTTAGCAGTCAGTGTTATTTAGAATGATTAGCGTGTGTATTAAACTGCCTGACTGACCGACTGTGTGTGTGTGTGTGTGTGTGTGTGTGTGTGTGTGTGTGTGTAGGTGAGGGTTTTAGACAGTGAGTTTGCTGAAAGCTGGTTACTTCTGTAAGCGACTGTAGAAGAGATCTGTGTTAAAACTCCATTCTAGTGTCTAGGTGGTGAGATTGAACTCGGTATAGATAGCACTTACTTATGTTTCGATGCATAATATTGCCATTAGGACACCTGACGGGAAGGCCATCATGAATATCAGAATGGCATTTACTACGATATTTTCCTACATTCAGTATTTATCCTCCTCATAATGGCCTTGTGAGTATCGACAGATTATACCAGAGGTGAAGCTGGTAGTGAGATGTGTTTCAGTGGTGCACAAATCTTCAACTAAATACTGATGATGATGATAATAATAATAATAATGCTAATAGGATGTGGATACGAGAGAGTATAGTTGTAGTTGTAGCTAATTGTCTGACCGATTCAGGTGGAGAAACAAACATAACTAGTTTAAAATACCTTAGTCATTAATAAGTTACGATTCACTGTATATCAAATTGGTGAGAAGGATTTTCTCAAATTGTTGAGAAGTTGTCCGACGAAGATGTAAGAGTGAATCACATTTCCCGTTTTCACTGCAGTCTAAATCCGCCTTCATTTGTACTGGTAACATCAACAGTGCCTTTGAAGACATTATTTC